TGAACAGTTCGTTCCCATCACATCGTTGCTCCCCAACTCCCGCATCCGCCCTTGCAGAGCATTGTAAAGGCACTCGAACGCCAAGGAGGCTCTTTTCAGAGCTGTCAGATGCCTGTTGCTGATTTTAAAATTGCTTTCGGTTTTGTGCTCTGCCAAGGATTTGTCACACCTCCCGCCGGTGAGGTGCCTGCTATTCTCACTCCTGCTTTCCCTGCCGCGAGTGTGCGTCTGCCGCCGAGCCCGCCAGGGACTGACAGCTGGGAGCGTGCATCCCCTCCTCCTGCAGAAGGGATGGAGCACGGGCAGCCCTGATACGAATTTTCTGATGCCAACTCGCTGGTGTCTTTCAGCTCTGACTGCTGGGGGTCTTTTTCAGCTCCTCTTCAAGCACTCTTCTCCTCATGAAAGCTGATGGGAAAGGTCTCCAGCAATGCTGGTGGGATGATGCACGTCCTTAGTTGAAGTTGGATCATTAGGTAAAGTAATAATGTCATAAAGTAATAAGTGCCTGGCTGCACTTGCACCACATGTGGCCCAGTCATGGTGCTGCAAATCAGATTTTTCTGGCTCTGTTTTGCTGCTGTTGTGCTCAGCTGGGTGCGCTGCCCTGAGCAGCTCTCTGCTCCTCGTCCTTCCTCATCAGCACAGGGCAGGATGGAGCTGCTCTTGTCCAAGGGCTGAGGAGGCTCCTGGGGCCTCAGAGGGAATGATTGTGCCCCTCTGGGAATAGTAGAGGAGTGTGAAATACCAGGTTATGTCTTATACAGTGGATTTGCATTAAAATGGCTACTAAAGCTTTTGTCTGCCACATGCTTCAGCAAGATCTCAGAGGAACACAGAGCAGGATGGAGCTATTGCATGGAAACATTGCTTTTCCCCACCTCTGCTGTCTTTGACTTGCCCTTTTTAGTACTGTTTTGTATGTAAGCCTCTTAGAGATGCCTTTTCCTTGTTCTTACCAGCTGCCTGAAAGGCATTAAAATGAGGATTTTTTCAAATGCCATCAGTCCTGAGGGCAATGCCCGGTGCTGGAGGGTGTGCAGCATTTGCCCCCTCCCAGCCTGGGCAGGGGTGCTGTGCACAGCCCCCTTTGACTCTGCAGGCAGGCGGTTGTCAGAGGGAGCAGCAGCCCACGCTACCCCAGGCCCCCTGAAGATCTCTCAGGGTGATGGAAACCACAATTTGTCACTCTGTCCTGTTCTCTGTGTCTGTCACCAAGAATCTACACGGATCAGCAGAAAATTATTAGCAGAGCACAAATAAATTACCAGAGCAGAGAAGCTTCTATTAATGTCATAAAAATGGGGCTCTTACTCCCTTCCTTGTCAAAAGTGAGCACTGAAAATCAAAGTGCAGCCAGATCAAAAGCTTAGGTACAAAGTGAATCGATGGCATCTGTTGCTTGTTTGTGAACGTCGGGTGGGTTGAGGGGAAGAGAGAAACCTTTGTTTGTTTAAAAGGGAGTTTGAGAAAAAATCTTGCTTTTTTCTTCTGCCTTTGTATTATTAAAATGCCATAACTCAAGCTCAGCATGGAGAAGGCTGTGATCTCGGGTCTCCCTCGAGACGAGCAAGAGGCGTTCACGCAAGTTGGTGGTGACCACCAAAGTTTCAGGGGCTGCTGGGGAGCACATACAAAAACACAGTGGAAACAGAACTGCTTTTATAATGAAAAAGGATAGAGATAAATATGTTGCACATCTCTCCAGTTGTCCTAGCCAAAACGGCAGTGAATAACCTGTTAAAATAAATCACCACAAAAAAGGAAGCAATGCAGACAGTGTTAGTTACCCTGTGGATCTATCACACCAGAAGGCATAATAACAAGAAAACACCATTAGCAGCATGACA